GGTCACGAATCCCCCACAAGAGGGGGAGGGGGGGGGGGACCCCGAAGACTACAGCAAAAGAAGCCAGCGTGCAGCCAGAGACAGGCAGCCGGGAGCTGGCCGCTGGAGATAGAGAGAGGGGAGGAGGAGAGGGGAGCGAGGAGCGTGATTCAGGCAGGTTACGAGTGATTTTTGGAGGGCTGTGCAGCCGTTTAAAATCACTTGTACAAAATGGCTCCCACACTACTTTTAGCCGTGGTGCTTGCCCGCAGCCGGGCTAAATGTAGAAAAAAAAAAAAACTACCGTATTTTGCGGCCCATAAGACACACCGGACCATAGGACGCAGGGAGGTCCGGCGCGCCTTATGGAGCACTCGACAGACCGTAGCTTCTGTCACAGCTTCTATGACAGTGACCGCTGAGACAGGCGGCGCTGTGATTACACTGTGGTTACAGCGCCACGGTCTCAGTGATCACGCAGAGCAGACGAAGGACGTCCGTTCTTCCGTCTGCTCTATGGTGATCTCCATCGTCGCCGCCGCTCGGTTTTAATACGAGTGATCTCATTAGATCACTCGTATTAAACGAGCGACGGCTCCTACCACTCGCCCGGCGCCCGAAACTGCACGTCTCGGGCGTCGGGATTCGCTCCATGAGACGCAGGCACATTTTCACCCTCCTTTTGGGGGGAAAAAAAAGTGCGTCTTATGGAGCGAAAAATACGGTGCTCGCCCGGCGCCCGAAACTGCCTGTCCCGGGGCGCCGTGCCATAGGAATTCCACACCCCTGCTGTAGTTCTTACTAGGGGAAGACCAGATGGAAATTAGGATTACTGGGACATATAGCTCTGCTCCTATATATACTGTGCTTGAAACTACTGAGGCACAGGGACTGCTGTGACTTGTGGTGCCATTCTAACTGCCAGCTGCTATCTAGATATTATCTGGGGCGTGTGGCGTTACCCTGACACATCATTGCCGATGTCAGTGGCATCCCTGGATTCCTATTTCGTAAACTGTTGGAACTTTGCCTCATGCTTGTTATATTTGCCCCCTCTATTCTGGTACCTTCTGCCAGTGGCCTAACAATCACCATAGAGACCCAGGCGGCCGCTATGGGGCCCGGGGCACAGTGGGGCCCGGCCAGATGACGTGCGGGCCGCCTGGGATCCTCTGCTGGCGGCTGAAGACGAACACGCCGCTGTTCAGATGACTGACGGCAATCTGTGCAGCGGCGCGCTCCTCTCCACAGACTCAATGAGAGCCAGAAGCAGCAGCGGCGGTGGAGCAGTCTGGACCCGGGAGTGGAGGAGGAGGCGGGGCACGAGGTCGGTAACAGGGGAGGAGGCGGGGCCCATCAGCGACGGTGGAGGAAAAGGAGGCGGACAGGTAAGGAGAGTGACCATGCAGAGCCCACCATAGAGAGTCTATGGCGGGCTCTGCAGGGTCACCCTCAGGTGGGATCTCTGCAAGGGGGGGGGGGACTAGAAATCACGGGGCCCCATACCAAATTTTGCTATGGGGCCCTGTGATTTCTAGTTACGCCCCTGGCTTCTGCCCTATTGTGTGACAAAACCCCCCACCCCCCCTCAATAAATGCCCCACACATCAGGTCCTGTCCTCGGCATGCTCTCTCTGTACTCCTAGTTGTCACAACCATTTGTGTTGCAATCACAGCACAGGCCTCAGGAGTGAGAGGTTATAGAGCGGGTCCTGACCTAACACAGCCCTCAGCTTTCCTCCATGTCTCTGTAGGATTCTCCCCGCTTGGTATACAATGATCGTGTGGCAGAGCGTTCGGCCGTATATTGTGCAGCGCGGGGATCTGCCGGTACACAGAAAAGGCGCTCAGGCCGTTGGCTCACCTTGGACTCCACATGATAGGACACGTAGTGCACCGTGCAGCGAAGGGGGATCTTCCTGACAGGCCACGGAGCATCGTATGATAAGTAAGCAGGAAGGACGCTGATCCGTAATTCACCCTGGAAAACAAAACAATAATAAAATGGTGACACGCTCTCCATTTCCTCTGTGCTGTCGTAATTCTTCCCCGAGCATAGTGAATGATAGACGCACCTTGCCGACAGGTAGCTCTCCTCGGCTCTGTGACCCCCCACAGGGGTAGGGTGGGGGTAGTCCGAGTCATTATACTGCTGTGATACACGCTCAGTCTTCCTATGTGCCCTGTCTGGACGCGCGTTACTTGCCCCTTAGGGGTGTAGTTAGGCTTATAACCCCGTTCCTCAATACATTCATTTTACAAATCATAGAAACTTCCACTCTCCTGATAGGCTGAAGTGTCTAATGTGACGGACTGAACAGTCACTGGGGCTGCTGGAGGAGCCTCCTTCCTAGAGACTATGAACCTAGGACTATGGGGACCCCCCCCCCCCTTGTGGGTTGAACTGGGTGTCCTGGGCCCATGGACGGCTGTTGCGGGGGAGCAGCAGATCAGACCAATCGCTGTTTACCCTGTTTCAAGTCCTCATTTGCATGGCCAAGAGGACCTAAGTGATCCCTAGAGGATACTTTGCAGTTGACCAATAGGAAGGTGGTCAGTTGGGCCACCTTCAAACTGTTGTTTATAAAAGTGTGTGTGTGCATCCAATAAAGGAGATTCCTGTTTGAACTTACATACAGCCCGCCTGGTGTTTGTTCTGAGCTATCAGCACTGGATACGAACGGCACATGGCTGTAGTTCGAATCCCGAATTATCGGACGACCGAAATATCAGATGCTGCGGTCTGAAATCTGAGGAGTGCCGAGAGAATGGAACCGAGCGAGCAGGGGCTTGTTACACAGAGCATCATAATATTCATGTATGTTGTATATCTCTGATCTGTTTAGGGTTTATTGCTCATCCTATGTATATTTGTTCTGTCATTTAGATATCAGGATGCATTCTTTATTCCAAGGTCCAACATTATTTATGACACCCCATCCCACCCCCAACAACGTTCCCTTGCTTTAAGTGGTAAACTCTGTCATGTTGATTAGTATTGCTTCTGACCTGCAGAAGAGAGGTTAACTCACAAAAGC